TTCGGTTGACTAATTCCATTAAGCATCTCTCAGAGAAATACTCAAGAGGTTGATACTCACTCTTTTGAGGCACCAGTCCTTCTGCAACCCACAGCACAATCAATCTTCTTGCTGGGACCTCAAAATCTTGTGGGAATAACCCGAAATAAAAGAGTAATCGCCTTAGGTACAATGGAAGATTCCTGTCGAGCTTGTGTAAGATCTGTGACCAGGGTCTGTCATCTAGAATGAACTCCTCAAGTGCCCTTGACCATGACTGTACAGTTGCATCAGCATGTGAAAGCAGATGTCCTAAACTCACTATGGCCAGCGGCAGACCTCCACATTTTCTAACTACTTCCCCTTTAAGTCCTAGCAGCTCGGTGGACATGTTAACCTTCAAAGTATGAATAAACAATGCCCAGCTCTCATCATCTGTTCGAAGATGCAGCCTGTATACGTGGTTCCTCTCAGGGACATCTTCCGAGGTTTCCTTTATTTGGCGAGAAGTGAAAATTATCCTGCTACCATTTGATGTTTCATCGAATATCCTTATTAGTTCATCCTGGAGACTTTCTCTTAGATGAGATGATAGTTTATAATCATCAGAACTTGCTTGGATGTGTTCATCAAAAATGATAAGTGATTTCTTCTCCATCAAGAAAGCACTTAACATCTCTCGTGTCCTGCGATCATACCTACCCCAGATCACAATCCTACTTTGTTTACAAGGCTTGACATTTGTTACTTCTTCTACAATGTCTTCTAAAGTAGTGAAGGGTTCACAAGATACCCAGGAGCAGAACGGGAAATTGGATGCAGTAGCATGATGGTGATATATTAGCTTTGCAAGGCATGTTTTACCAATACCTGCAGCACCTACAATCGAAATAGACTGGCTTCGTGGATCGTCTTTCAGTAGCACCTCCATAATCGCATCAACATCATCCTCAAAGCCCTCAAGAGGTGGTTCTTCAGGCACAAATGAAGCTGTTGATCTTCGTGGGGTCTGGTTTACAGTCCATGGAGAATCCTGATAGGCTCTTCTAACGGCACTATGCCTTCTTTCATAGACCTTTTCAATCTTAGCTCGGATCTCCACCATGTCCTGGTGAAGTTTGGCTTGTGAGTTGAAATTATGTAATTGCGAAACAAATGTGGAAAAGGGTCCTCTCCAATTCCTCCTCAGCTGCTCCCTTCTGCTCAAGAAGCACCCAATAACATCATCTGTTGAGCGGCATACATCACAGAGTTCCTCCATCCAGTCTTCCTTCAATCGCTCCGGTTCAACATCCTTCAAGAACTCTTGAAGGGACCTTAAGTCATCTCTCAGCCATCTAGCTTGCTTCTTCACAGCAAGGCTACTTTGATCTTCTGTAAGTAGCAGTCTTTTCACTTTCCTTAAAACAGGATCAATTACTGTGTGCCCAACATCCAGTTCCTCCAGAGTTATGGTGCTTAACCATAACCCAGAATGCAAAATAATCTGGTACACAATTTTGATCTCGATCTTAATCTGCTCTAATCTTCTGCCCAGTTTGTATCTGTCTATCAAATCAATGACAGAGAAAACAAACCTCATGACAAATCCTCTGCTTCTTCTCTGTGTTGATTTCAGCATGAAGGTCTCCAGGATGTCTTCAATGTCATACATGACATTTCTTAAGCGCTTCCTGTCAACCACATTTCCTGAGAGATCAGCAGAGTCTTGGAGCTGCTTCTCAATCCATTCCAGGTGAGCTTCTTGTCCCAGCAACGGAACTGATTCATTCAGCAGCAAACAGGAAAGCTTTTCTCTAATAGCAGATGCGATTCTAACCTCCATATCTGCAATTTCTTCTCGATCTTTTAGGCAATGGAAAGCAAAGCCAAATTCAAACAGTGAGCAATGAAAGAAAAATGCCTAGTCCAAAATGATATTGAATCTTCTCTTTTGTACTCTTTGCAGTGCATAAACTTTCCTTACTCTATGCAGCAGCAAGAGAGTCTCGAGTACTTTTTTCAGTGATGTTAAGCTGTAGGAAACTGCAATTCTCCACTTATCTTTCCTTGAAGCTCAGTCTTCCTTCTCCATAATTGCCTGGAAGCTGATTCTTTCACTTTTTCTAAAAAAGTTGTTTCTTTTCCTTGGGAGAAATCTTGAAAGAATAAAATTTTCCAAACTTGTGGAAAACTGTAAACTGAACTTACCAAAACTCTAGTACAAATCATCACATAATGAAATATCCCCAGACACCTTCTATATTGACTTGGCAGAGTCATCAGAGCAGATAAACTATGCCTGATTTATTTAATTTGCTTGCAAAAATATTGAAGACCAAAAAGGGGTAAAAAAGACTGGGAAAGAAAATAGAGAACTGATGGAAGAAGCAAAGCTATTCAGAGTGTAGAAATAATTGTCAACTTTTGATGCAGTGATATAATGAATATATTAATATCACATTGGAAAGATATGTGATTTGTTAACTTTCAGTGTTCAAATTATATATTTTCTATAACTTGAACTTGAATTTTTTACGATTGTGATTTAAGTCCGAAAAGTTTGTCGAGATAATGTCACTTAGCTCCATCACGGTAAAGATAAAATAAAAAATTACGTTGGAAAAAAAAAAAAAAGTAAACTGATAGATGTATTTAGAAATGAGAGAGTATAAATAGAAGCTTAACTTTTCTTCATTATATTGTATTCAAAATACAAAAGAGATTTATATGGGGAAAGAGATACATGCATATGATAAACCATATTTACATGCACCTTAAAATTTATGTAGGTATCTAAACATACATGCACTTTTATATAAATGTGTACTAAAAAAAGCAGTAATATATTAACATAAACAAGAAGGTGTTTTGATTAAGGCTCAAAGTTAAATTCACAATTGTGGTTTCTCAGTAAAATCTTGGGTTCAATTACATTAACGCCAAATCACAAGAAGTAGAACTGTAATTTTTCTCAGATTTCTAATTCGTATTTCATAACCTGAGAAACAACCATTGGCTAAATTCATCACTGAACCATAAACTGAACCCACCCACCGCCAGTCTACTTCGGAAGGCAATGAAACATCTCTGCCACTTTCCCTCTTGACTTGACAGAGTCATCGAAGCAGAGTCTTGAGTCATTACTAAAATATTGATGTGTCTGCTGAGGACATTTTTATCCCTGACCCACAAAGAATAAAGGAGAAAAACTTACTACAGTTGACTAATAAAGCTCTTGTCGGTCAATTCATTAGGTTAATGGAGAACTTGGAATCCCTTTTAGGCAGAGTAATAAAGAAGAAAGCATATTCCTTCTGTGTTTTTGGTTGCTTTCACCTGTATCTAAAATAAAGAAGAAACTACCAAAGTAAACAAAGGAATAATGTTTATCAGGCGACCGACTTGGATGGTTAATAAGAATAAGAAATGTGAAGCATCAACGGATTTTTCCTTCTATGAACTTACAAATATGAACAAAATAGAAAAAAAGAAAGAAAAAGAAAAGGTATGACTTGCTTTTATTTCCACATCACTTTCTTCGAAGTTTAGTTGCTAACCCTTCTGGGTTTTTTATGTTTTAGTTGGTCTGTTTGATCCAGAGGAAGAAAGATCAAATATCAAAGAAATTTCTATGGTTTTCTCTGAAAAATTATGCAGCCAGAAGCCACGCTGGTAGCCACTACCTTTTCTTTTCATTCACTAAAACAAAAATCTCAGGTTTTGGCTACTAGAAACTCATATTTTGCAGTATTAGCTTGTAAATTACTCAATAATGGTCAATTTTGCAGTTGTTTCTGGCTGGATATTGACAAGAGATAGAAAGCTGCTAGATGTATTTCCTAAGAGTTTGAGACATCTTTGGAATGACTGGGAACTCCGGACAAGTGTACTAGTTAGTCTGTCAATACAGATAATACTCATTCTCTTGGGAAATAGAAGAAAATACAATGCTACAAACTGCATCAGACTCATCCTTTGGCTTGCCTACTTGTTGGCAGATTGGATTGCCACAGTTTCCCTTGGAATTCTTGCCAACAACTATGAAAATGACGTGCTAAAGGCGTTCTGGGCGCCCTTTTTGCTCCTGCACCTTGGTGGTCCGGATACCATTACAGCTTACTCCTTGGAAGATAATGAGTTGTGGCTACGACACTTGCTCGAGTTAGTCTTCCAATCTGGAGTAGTCTTCTATGTTGTCCTCAAGTCTTGGACAAGTAGTTGGTTCAATTTTCTGACTGTTCCAGTGTTTGTAGCTGGATTGATCAAGTATGGCGAGAGGATCTGGGTTCTAAGATCAGCAAGCATTGATCATTTCGGAGAATCAATGCGTCCTCCTCCTGATCCGGGGCCTAACTATGCAAAGTTCATGGATGATTATGCATCAAGGAAAGCTGAAGGCTTCAAGCCATCACTAGGGACAGTGATTGAAGATCCTACCGACACTCATCAGTTTGCTACTGTTGCATCAAATAGTCTAGTCCAAGATGCTGTTATTTTGCAGCATGCTTATTCTTTTTATGGCACATTTAGGCGCCTGTTTGCTGATCTCATACTTAGCTTTCAAGACAGAGATGGAAGCCAAAAAATTTTCAGAAGTTATCTTGTGACCATGCTTTCCGGGTGATTGAGGTTGAGCTCGGATTTGTGTATGATATTTTACACACTAAGGCTCTTGTGTGTTACTCATACCTTGGTGGCATCCTCCGTTCCTTAAGTTTTTCTTGCACTACTTCTGCTTTTATTGCATTCTTGGCCATTGATAAGAAGAATTACTCGAATATTGATGTGAGCATAACCTGTATTCTGCTGGTTGGAGCAATTGTGCTAGAAATATATTCAATCCTAGTACTAGTTTCTTCCAACTGGACAATGCTCTGGTTGATTAAGCTTGAGAAGAGGAGAATTGCTTATGCATACAAGATCATTTGTCATGTTCAACAGTACTTCTTCTTACTACGAACAAGGGATGGTCTGGTTGCATTTCACAGTATAATTTAATTAGTATCTGCCTTGGGGAAAAGCCAGCGAAATGCAGGCAGATAGAAAGATTATTCGGCATGTCTCAGATGTTGGACGAAACAAGGAACAAGCACATTGAAATTGTGTCTAGTGATTTGAAAGTTTTAATCTTTGAGCAGCTTCTTGAAAAATCAAGAGCTGCATGTGATATATATCTGTGCAAGCAGATATGCACCCAGAGGGGTCATCAGGTGCTAGAAAGAGCTAATTGCCTTGAGAAACTTAGTTGGAGCATTGAAGTGGAGTTTGATCAAAGCATACTCCTATGGCACATTGCCACAGATCTCTGCTACTATACTGATCAAACTAAGGATTCAAACATTATTGAAAGTTCAAAATGTAAAGCGGGCAAATTGTTATCAGATTACATGATGTATCTTCTGGTGTTATGTCCAGGTATGCTGCCTAATGGGATTGGACAGATCAGGTTTCAGGACACATGTGCTGAGGCTATTGAATTTTTTCGAGAAAGAAAAAAGCTAATAACAGACAGAAGCAAAGCATCTGAAAAGCTACTTCAAGTAAACACTGATATTTTACCTTTGGAAGTGAAAGGAGATAAAAGCAAGTCTCTGTTATTTGATGCTTGTAGGCTTGCCAAGTTTTTACAGTCACTTGAAACAGGTGACGAGAAATGGGAAAGTGAAAAAAAGTGGGAGCTGATAAGCCATGTTTGGATAGAAATGCTGTCCTATGCAGCAAGCCAATGCAGATCGGTTTGCCATGCTAGGCAGCTGAGGCAAGGGGGTGAGCTGCTAACTCATGTCTGGCTTCTCATGGCTCATTTGGGAATCAGTGAACACTTCCAAATTTCACAGGGTCATGCAAGGGTCACCTTGCTAGTGAATTGAATTGAATTGATTCTATTTGACATTTTATTCAGCTCTGATGATATTCTATGCAATTTTTACGCTAAACAATGTCATGGAATTACATTGTATCAGGATTCTTTTTTTTTTTATATCCAATAAAATAATCTATTCATGCCAAAATGGCCATTGGAACTTTGTAATGTTTGTGAAATAATCAAAGCAGATCATGAAAACAGCATTATGTTTCCGAAGCAAGGATTTTTTCGTGTTTTGAACTCGAAAAATTTACTTTTTCCCTCCTCTCTAACAACACGAAACAAGGCGAAAAACATGGTCACTATCTAATTTTCACCTACAAAGTCTATATAACCATCACAGTATATGCATGTGCTAGCTGAACTTCCTGGCAACCAGAAACACCTACTATGCTGCATATTTCTACATCATCACCGCCAACTCTCTCATTCCCTTAAACGCATGAAATGCAGTCAAAGTTCTTGAACCTCGTAAGCTATTTTCTAATGGAGAAGAAAAGAGAGCAAAAAGATGACAGTTTCTTGCAGCATCCGATGTTGGTTATCTTTGCTCTAACTCTCGGTTTTCTCATGGTCGACCCTTTTAACATGGGTCCGGTAAGAGGTCATGATTTCAAGCCTGTAATGCATGACATTGCACCATACAAGCAAGTCATGGCGAGTTGGCCTAGAGACAACTTGAGCCGGTTAGGGAATGGGAAATTGGAGTTCATTGATGAGGTTTTTGGACCTGAATCACTAGAGTTCGACAGTTCGGGACATGGCCCTTACACAGGATTAGCAGATGGACGCGTAGTTAGATGGATGGGTGAGGAGATTGGATGGGAGACATTCGCACTTGTAACTTCAAATTGGTGAGTTTTTGTTAAGAAAAAAATAATGTCAAATTAGCATACAATCACATAAAGTAAATAGTATAATGACAAAAGATACAAAATTTTTACTTAATTCAACAAAAATGTCAACGTTCATGAACAAAACTAAGAAAAATTTTTTTAACTATAATAAAATAAAGAGTTATATCTACCAATAAAATTGCGAACTGCAATATATTTAAAATATTGGAGTTTTTTCAAAATAACATCAACTAGTTTTAATATGATTAAAATATACAAAATACTCAGAATATTAGTCAAACTGAAATTCAATACACATCAATAGTTTTATTCGTTATTAGAGATAAATACTCAGAATTAAATATGTTTAGTTTGTTTTATTTAAATATTAACACATTTTCTCTCGTATAAATCCATTACTCTTATATTGAACTTGTGAATCAAATAAAAAAATTAACTTACCATCATTTACATATTAACACATGCTAATTACATTGTGAAATTTCTCTAAAAAGGTCAGAGAAGCTATGTGCTCGAGGTGCTGACTCAACGACGCATAAACAATGGAAACATGAGAAATCTTGTGGCCGTCCTCTGGGCCTGAGATTCAGCAAAGAAACTGGAGATTTATACATAGCTGATGCTTATTATGGTCTTCTTGTTGTTGGCTCTGAAGGAGGCCTTGCCACCCCTTTGGCAACCCAAGTGGGAGGAAAACCGATACTGTTTGCTAATGATCTTGATATTCACATCAACGGGTCCATCTTTTTCACAGACACTAGCAAGAGATATGATAGGGTGTAAGTATAAATCCATATATATATATATATATATCAGTCTTGCCCTCTTTGTAGTATAAATTTTTCCAATACTGATTGAGAAAATTGTTTTTAAAAAATCTAGGAACCATTTCTTCATATTGTTAGAAGGAGAAGCAACAGGAAGGCTTCTTAGATATGATCCTCCCACTAAAACAACTCATGTGGTGTTGGATGGTTTGGCTTTCCCAAATGGAGTTCAGCTTTCTAAGGACCACAGTTTCCTTCTTTTTACTGAGACAACCAACTGCAGGTAATTTTTTTAACTTCTTAGACTCGATTTTTACCATTGAGGTAAATAATTCAGTGTTTTGTGGGTAATATTTGAAGTACTAAATTGAAAATTGAGAGATAAACTCAAAAAATTTTATTTAAAATTTTACTTAACAGGTCTACTAGAAGAGTTTGTTATTTATGGTATAAATTGATTTTACGAGAAAATAATATGTAATTAACGAGATTTATAAGAATTCAAATTATTTATTTTTAATAATTTAAATTTAAGTTTCGAAAATTATGACTCATTAATATAATTAAATACAGGTTAATGAAGTACTGGCTGAAGGGTCCGAAAACTGGAGCTGTGGAGCTTGTGGCAAACCTGCCAGGTTTCCCGGACAATGTACGAATGAACGAAAATGGACAGTTCTGGGTAGCCATAGATTGCTGCAGAACAGCGGCCCAAGAAGTTCTTACTCACAATCCATGGATCAGAAACATCTATTTCCGGCTGCCAATGCGGATGAGCATACTTGCAAGGCTAATGGGAATGAGAATGTATACGGTTGTATCACTTCTCGACGAAAATGGAGAAGTTCTTCAAGTTCTTGAGGATCAAAAGGGTGTGGTGATGAAACTTGTGAGTGAAGTTAGAGAGGTACAAGGGAAGCTGTGGATTGGAACTGTGGCTCATAATCACATTGCTACACTTCCTTATCCTTAAAAAAAAAAGGAAGAAAAAAAGAACTCATGACGGATTAATTTTCTTAGTTAAAAGTTAAAAAGAGTTAATACCCGATCTAACTAAAAACGGAAAAGGAAATAGATATGCTTTAGTTTGATCCACACGGATATGTTTTTTAAAAAATCTAAATGTTGTTGATAATCATGCAACTTTGAATTTGTGATTGTATCCTTTGTTTTTGTTTCTTGCTTTTATATAAATATATGATTAAGTTTTTTTTTTTTGTGTTATCTAATTAATGCCATTAAAATGTTATCTAAGTAAATAAAGTTTTTTTATATTGTAAAAGAACTACAATAAATTTATTAAATTTTACTAAAAAATTTATTTTTTCAAATTATTAAGAGATATGATACGTTATTGAACTTAGAACTAAAAAATTCTTAATAGAAGAAAACACCATCTAACTCTGAATTAACTTTTTATAGAACAAAGTCTTGATAATTATTCATTCAAATGATAATATATTATATTATTATGTTAATTATATCATAAACTTCAATAATAATAAAAAATGTAATCCACACTCCTAAAAAAAAGGATTAAGAAAAGAGAAGAGAAACGAGAAATCGAACATGGAAGGATCAGAACAAGACCTTGATATGTCTGGCACGTCAGTTAACGAAAATACAAGCTCATCAGTCATCAGCAATGGCTTCTACGTCTCTTTGAACCATTAACAACTAGCACAGAACTCAAAAATCAGTAGCACGTTTGCACAGCACTGTGTCTCCACTTTCATCATCTTCATCATGCACAGGTTTCTTTCAATTCTCCACGCCAAAACCCAATCTTTCAAAAACCCAACACACCGTCAGAGAATTTATCCTCATCTCACTTCTTTACTCTCTTCAAATCCCCTTGCTAATCCATCTGGGTCTCCTCCAAACCGCTTGCATCCTGCAAATTCAATCCAAACTCCAAATGGGTTTTCCTGCTTTCCTCATTCGAATGGAAATTTTACATTTTTAAGGTTCCAGAATGGTTTTGATCGATTGTTTTCATCTGGGTATTTCCCAATTCGTTTGACGAGATGCAATGGGATTGGGAAAGGGTTTTCGAGGAGTTTCAGCGGTGGAGCGGATAGAGAGTTTATCGAGTATGACGTTGTGATCGTTGGGGCTGGACCGGCTGGTTTGTCAGCAGCTATACGCTTGAAGCAATTGTGCCGTGAAAAAGATGTTGATTTGTCAGTTTGTGTTGTTGAGAAAGGAGCAGAAGTTGGTAGGTCATGATCATTGGTCTTTGGTAATTATCTGCTTTAAGTTTTATGATATTGCTACTTTGTTAATCATCTTGTATGTGCTTAAAGATTTGGAATCTTGGTGTAAAAATAGAATTTCTTTGTAGTTCTCTAGACATATTTTGGCAAAAGAAATTGTCATTTTTAAGAGGGAGGATGAACCGTAGAATATCAAGTTAAAATATTTCTGTGGGTGTTTTGTTTTTTTTTGCAAATATTCCATAAAATTCTTTTCTGAATCATTAAGTCTTTGGCTCAGTCTATTGAGAATTGCTGCTCCCTATCATTGTTAATTGAAGTTCTGGAGTTTGCAGTGACTACAATAATTGCTGTATGGTTATAGGTGCTCATATCTTATCTGGGAATGTTTTTGAACCTCGAGCACTGGATGAACTTCTTCCTCAATGGAAACAAGAAGAGGTGTGTCTCTTTTGGTTTCAGCTGATAACTGCGTCTAGTCTGGACTATGCTGTGTGATTTATAGTAACTTAGGTTTTTTTTTTTTTTTTAATATGATAATAATTCAATTCATGACAACAGGATGGAAGTTAGTTTCTAGTATTTTTTTACTATAATGATGTGATTTATGGTGACCTTGGACGTGAAGTTGAGAATCAGTTGGTTCATGAAAGGGAAATGGGTCAATTTTTTTTTCCTTTTTGTGGTCGAAAGAGATGGATGAACTTCTTTCTTCCTTGTTATGCTCATGTTGCCCACATGAGAAAAATTGAGCCCTCGACTTGGGGCTTTCTTATGGTGAGACCAGAAATTTTTTAACTTGGTTGGTTCTTTAACATGCTCCTGTTTGGGTGTAATCTAACTAATGAAATTTGGGATGGAATCATTACCCTTGAATAAGCTCCACATTAGCTGTTGAACCCTCTGTCCTAACTCTTTGTAATGAATAAAGATTTTGTTTAAGCTTAATTGGTTTAGGGGATTGTCTCCATGTCGTGTTGTTTTTTTTCTTTTCTCTTGGGAATTCTGCTCTGTCTCCCGAACTTGACTTGGACTATTTCAAGTTTTGTTGTCTGAGAAATTTGGGCTTGGTTGGGTTTCTGCGCTTGTAATCTAAAAAAAGAGTTCTTCAATATCATTCCTCTGGGTTATTTGGAAAGAAAGGAATATGAGAATTTTTTAGTGTGCTTGCTCTCCTTGTAGATTTTCTGGTCTCTGATCTCTTGTAATTATTTTTGCATATAGGTGGTGCCCCCATGGTTCAATTTAGTTTTTTTTTTCTCCTTTTTCTCTCAAAAAATAAAATCTTTATTTTTCTACCCTCAGTAGATAAAGCAACAATAATACATATTTTCTTTATTCTCAAAAACTGTATTACAGTTATGTCATTGCATTGATTATTTTCTTTGTAAATCTTCTCTTTGCTCTTATCTTGCTATTATTTGCAGGCACCAATCAACGTCCCTGTTTCTTCTGACAAATTTTGGTTACTTACAAAGGATCGTGCATTTTCACTTCCATGTCCTTTTGATAACAAAGGAAACTATGTTATAAGGTAGTTATGGAATGCACACTTTTGATGCCTAAAGCATTCTGGTGTCCAAAAAAAATTGCTGATTTTACAAGTTGGGATCTAATTTTCCATGAACATTTTCCTTCAACATCATAAAATGCTGGTCAAGCTGAAAGAAGAGTCTTGTAAAACAGCTATTCTAGCTATTGCTTTACAGTGCTAAAGTGAGGATGACCAAAATGAGGATGGGAGGCTGGTGAAGCTGAATGGAAGAGTTTACAAAAAAGTTAGTTATTGCTTTCTAGTGCTAAAAACAGTATAACAATTATTTAGAAGGAAAAAAAAAAACTGTTTAACAAATAGGATTTCAAGCTTGCTACTTGGGTGTGTAAAAAGGTGAAGGACTGACAGGGATATATTGAGGGGAAGAAATTTAACCAGTTTTGTCATATGCAACAAGCCCTCTGGTGATGCCTCTGTAGTTCCAACTCAAATATGTGAGAGTTAGCATGGGTTAGCGGAAAATATCTGAGCATCGAAAAAAATTTCACTCGAGCTATGGCCTTAAAAATACGCAAGTTTGAGGAAAATGAGTCATTTTGGTCCATATCAGTTGGAAAACTAAAATCATTGGTCAGAAACTGCTTTCCCTGTTTGCATTTGAAACGTTTGTTCCAAAGGGATTAGGAAACTCTTTTATGATGTGCCAAGTTGTGTCCTTATTTCTTACCAAGCTCAGTCACCCCTGTTAGTTACATTTTTCTCCTCCTCCACTATTTTCTCTTGATGCATAGGTTAATTTGCAAATATTTCATTTTTGCATTTAATAGCGACAACCATTTGCTGAAAAGCTTACTATTTTCCACAATGTAACAGTTTAAGTCAGTTGGTGCGTTGGCTTGGAATGAAAGCCGAAGAATTGGGAGTTGAGATATATCCTGGGTTTGCAGCTAGTGAGGTAGTATTGTTCACTTCTATAGTTGCTTGCACACATTTGATTCTTGTATGACAAACCTTTATAATCGTCAGATATTATATGATGCAAATAACAAAGTTATTGGGATTGGAACTAATGATATGGGAATAGCCAAAGATGGTTCTAAGAAGGAGAATTTCCAACGTGGTGTAGGATTAAAAGGCAGGTCTCTCTTTCTCTACATATGTGTGTGTGTGTGTGTGTCTTTATCATATATAAGAAAAAATGCACGACTGGATGTGTGAGTTTACAGACTCATACATACCTTCATCCATGTTCACTAGCATGCTATCATGTCTTTCTAAAGAGTCCTTTCTTCTATCTTCGCCTCTGAGAATCATAAGATGAAAGCCACTTTCTTTGAGATGCTGTTGTATTGCTCCAACTTATGGTTGTATACTTATTGTGGCACCAAATCCAATGTTTCTGTCTTCTTGCCTTCTATCAATGTTATTTCACTCTGCAAATTAATGTTTCACCATTAGTTTGACTTAGCAACTAGATTCAGATGGCTGATTTATTCTTACCTCAATGAAATATCAATATGATATCCAATCAAATCCTTTGCATCTGAAGACCATATTTACTCATTACTGAAGCAATTATCAACTGCTCAGTCAATAGAAATGACTTGATATTGGTTTGACTAATGTCAATCCAATGAACGTTGGCCTCTCTAACTCAGCCAATTGGATGGCCATTTAAGAAAGTGTAATTTGTGTAGTTGAAGAAAACTGTTTCTGTTGCTTTCTTTGTCATTTTAACAAAATTCTTCTCCTGGACACTAACGTAACAGTTTGATGCTAATATGTAGGATGTCTTACACTTCTAGCTGAAGGATGTCGGGGATCATTGTCAGAGGTTTGCCCTGAAAAAAAGCTTTTACTGCAAAAGTTGGCATCATTGAAACTTACATGCTCAAATTATTGAACTAATAGCAACAGATTTTTTTTAATTCCTTTCTAACAGAAAATAATTAGAAGGTACAAATTGAGAGAAAAGGTGCAGGCACAACATCAGACTTATGCTTTAGGAATTAAAGAGGTATCTGACTTTCTACTAATTTTTTTAGGATTTTAACCTTGTATCGATCTAGGATCTTGCTTATGTTGGTTTTTTTTTTACCTATACAAATTATTCTCTTTGAAGAATGACCGGAATCTTAAGGAGAGACTTAAGAAATATCTAAGGAAAGAGAATTTTCTTTTCTCTTTTCTTCTCTCTCTCTAAAAAGTAATTTTCTTCTGGTTATTAGTTGCTGGGTTATAGCAGCTTTTGATATAACAAGCTAGAGTGGATTCTTTCTTCTCTGCTTTCCTTTTCTCTAGTAGGTAATTTTCCCTGGTTATTGGTGGATGGGTTAGAGCAGCTCTTGATATATGAAGTTGAAACAGGTTTGGGAAGTAGATGAGGGCAAGCACAATCCTGGGGCAGTTCTCCACACATTAGGTTGGCCCTTGAATCATAAGACATATGGTGGATCATTTTTGTACCACATGAAAGATAGACAGGTAAGAAAAGTCCTTTTTAAGAAAAATTCATTGTTTTCCTCTGCTATCTTTAGGATTATTGCTGTGGTCACCATCATATAACTCTTCCATGGTCATGGTTTTCTTTATCATCAGTCATAATTGAATCCTTATGGACTGAAATGCAAAATGTGTTATTGGAATTGAGCAACTATGCTAAGGCTTTAAATTTCAAGCATTTTCATGTAGCTGCCCAGTTGAATTATTTTTTCTAGTTAGCTCATTTATTCTTCTCTTTTGGTTGAGCAACAGATCTCTATTGGTCTCGTGGTTGCTTTGAATTACCAAAATCCTTTCTTGAATCCTTATGAGGAATTTCAGGTAAAGTAGATTTCTAGGTCTTTATGTCAAAGTAAATGCGTTGTTTTGGGTTTTTTGATTATTATGCTTGTTTAGTGCTTACGTGAATTTATAATCTTTGACATCAATGGAAAACTTGCAATATTTTGGGAATATGAAATTGGCTAAAACGATTTGATGTCTGAAAAAGGAATCATGAAAAGAAATGACAGTTGCATGGAATATGAGCAGACAAACAACTAAATCGCTGTAGATGTGTCCTGATATAACATGCTCTTGTGCAAAGTTTTCCCTTCTCAAATGACTGCTAACAGAAGTTTATATATATTCAGAGAGCATTTTGATTTGCTTTCCACTTTTAAATGTACTTTTAAGGTTCATCAAATTATTCCTTTATGAATGCTCCAACTGACATTTTGTGCTGCATGGTATTTAGTATAGCATTTATCTCCTTAGTTTCTAATTAGCTTTGGGCTTCTGCTAAAGTGATAAAAAGATCAGATTACTGGAGGTTGAAGAGGGTTAGATTTCAATTTCATAAATGGAAAATGAAATATTTGAAATTAAAGAAGACAAAAGACTTCTGTTCTAGGGTTACTGTCTTGGGTTTGCTGGGTTTAAGTTAGGTAATGGCTGGAAATGTGAGTAAAGAGTTGTGGGCTTGGACAGGTTATTGTAAGAAGAAAAAACATTTGTTCCTTATTCCACTAACTATTTTTTGGATTGTGTGAAATGAAAGAAATGCAAGAGCTCTTGAGGGCACTGAAACTAACATTACAGATTTTAAAAATAGAAGAATCTATACTTTTAGTTCTATTTTGTTAAGTAATGACATCAAAGATTGGGATGATTTTTGGTGGGTCATGAACCACTTAATTCACTTGTAACTATGCTTTGTACATGGGCAGTACCCCCTTGATATCTTTGTGCACAATATTACTTCTCTTATATTTCAAAAAAAGAAGACCAAAGACTTCTGGTTCTGTATATCTAATCCTTACTGTAAGCCCTGAATTTGGGATTTTCACTTCTATGCTTTGCTTTTTTAAATCTGTTATAGAAACTTAAACATCATCCTGCCATCAAACCACTTTTGGAAGGTGGGACTGTACTTCAATATGGTGCTCGCACTTTAAATGAAGGAGGGCTTCAGGTAAATGAACATTTATCTTTCTCCATTTAGGAAAAAAATACTCTCTCTTTTCCAAGTGTAGATGCTACCATTGCTTGTGGCAAAGCTTGAAAAGTAGGAGCATGTTATCACAATTTATCATACACAATCTGCATAACAAAGCATTTGAATTATGGTTCGTGCCCAAGAAAGAGTTAATGATGTGATTATCCTTGTTATTTTATGGAACCAAGAATTTCACGAAGATAGTAAGATCAAGGACAATGTCTTTAGATTTCTTTTCCCCTTGGTCTTTCAATTGGATTTAAGTGGTACATGCAGCTACTTAGTTGTAAGCCAAGTGGACCTCTAATCAGTATTCTAATATAATCAAACTGTTGAATGTATCTGGATTCTTGCAGTCACATTTTTCATTCCTTGTATAACATTAACACTTGCTTGTCATATGTCAAATATGAATATGATGCTAGTTAAATTTCAGTCTGTTCCATATCCAGTTTTCCCGGGAGGAGCAATTATTGGATGCTCGGCTGGTTTTCTAAATGTACCAAAGATAAAGGGAACACACACTGCAATGAAATCAGGTCCCAGCTACATTAATTTTTTAATTTGGTTATCATCCATCATCCTGAAACTTAAACATATTCAAATAATTGTATCTTGAATCAGTATAAGATATCTTTTTCTTTCTCCATAGGAGAAGAAATATTATTAAGAAGGGAGAAAGCTGTTACAAGTCATAATGAGACAATAAGATATCTTCCAGGCAACAAACAGAAAACAACAGAACAAAATAAAAACATTAAGATCGAATATCTTTGATTGGCAAAACAAGAAATTTCAAAGCACCGATAGAATATCTTTGATTGGCAAAACAAGAAATTTCAAAGCAACTTTCCCCCAGGCTCTGTTATTCCTCTCTCTATAAAATTGCCTGATATTTTGGATAAAGAAATTAATAAAAATGCAATCTTCTTCTTCTTGGAAAAGTTCAAATCCAAACCATGCCTTACCATTGTATCACTACTGTTTAAAATATCCCAAAGAGTTGATGTTATGTCACAAGTATGTCTTCTCCAAAGGTACACTGAAGTAGTTCATAATTCCACTTAACAAACCTTAAATCTAAAATTTGAATCTGCAAAAGTTTGTTTATACCATGCGTTGGAAGTGTGGGGTCTCTCTACTTTTTCATTTACATTTTTTTAACTTGATCAATTTCTTGCAGGAATGTTGGCAGCAGAAGCTACATTTAGTGTACTTCATGAAGGTTCAAATATGGAAACATACTGGGACAGTTTAAGGAGTTCATGGGTGTGGAAGGAACTCCATGGAGCTCGGAACTACCGACCTGTTAGTAATACAATTGATTATTGTCTGTTACTTTCTAAAAGTGTTCTAGTTTTGCAGTACATCTCTTATTTTTTAATGTTTATTAGTGGTATACCTATTTGCATTGTGAGCCTTCTAACCATGGGAAATTTTCAAACAACCGCATCTTACCTAAATTAGCTGCTATTTATATTGACCGTATCATAACATTCCTAAGACTATGTATAGAGCAGTTCTCTATAGTATTTGCTAAATAATTGAGTAGCTAGAACACAAAGTACAGGTTATATTTAGTTCAAAAGAGTTAATTTAATAAAATAGATATGAGAATACAGTAACAATGGGTAAGGGGACAGTTTTTGGGTGATTCATGAGGGGGGAAGACAGTTTTTGGAGGAAGATGATAGGGGCTAAATTTGATTTTTTTTTTCTTCAGTGACTTCCTAACTCCCCTTGAAAACCTCATTGTTTAGGCACGTGCAAGAGTGTTATGATGGTTAAGGGATATTCCAAAGGTGCACTAAATGGAAAGTAGGTTCTAGGGAGAGAATGAGCTTCTGGTTGGATGATTGGACGTAAGGTGGGGGTCTCAGTATGCAGTACTTTGGCATTTTTGCTATTGGACAGAACGAAGAAATCACTGTTAAGGAGGCACATACTAAATTCCTTTCCAATGGTACTTGGGACATAGAATTAACCAGGAATCTAAACGACTAGGAGCTAGAGAGTTTCTTGCATCTCCATGGTTTTTTGTCTTGTTTGTCTTATTATCAGTACCTATCCACAAACAGTGACCAACTCGTCAATTCCCCTTCAAAGCTGGTGTGGAAAGTAAAGGCTATTGCCAGCGTGGCCTTTTTGGCTTGGGAAGCAGTCTGGAAGCAGATTTTGACCCTGGATAGGCAAGATGCCAGCGAATGGATTCTTCTGTGCAAGAAAGATGCATAGACTTGCTACCATATTTTCTGTGGTGTCCATATGCATACTGCCTTTGGTCTATGGTTTATGTTATGTTGGGTGTGAGCTGGGTCGTGGATGGTAGTATCCAGGGGTGAGTTGTGGGCATGGAATGGATTTCACAGTAACAAGAAGACTGCCAAGCGTATCTCTCTTGGTACTGTTTGGGTCATCTGGAAGAAAAGGAATAGAAGGGCTTTTAAGGGGGATTGAGTCTGATTTTGACAGATTTAAAGACTTTTAGTTCTAGGTATCGAGTTTTTTTAAAGGCCAACCTCTGTATTCATGCGAATATCACAGGGACCTTATTGATTGTTTGTTAGACCTGTATAGATTTAAGTATATAGGTTTGCACCCCCTTTCGTGCTATGTGTAGTACTTTTTCTTCTAAAGAAAAAAAAAGGAATACAGTAATAATGGGATGAAGTTGGAATACAAGTAGTATTCTAATTTTATTTTGATTTAAGATAATTCAGTTTCCTATTTTTACCTAGTAAATAGAACTCAGAAACTCGCTTTCGAAGAATTCAAATTAGCTAGAAATTGCTTCAAGCATAAATAAACATGAAAATTGTAATCAAATTCTACATATTAGAAATATTCTAGTAATAAATGTAAAGAAATATAATAGGAATTGAACCAAGCATAGCCAATGATGTTCTTTATTGACTTGTCTTATGCACAATAAGACGGGCTTCTAACTGTTGGCGGAATGATGGTTAATGTGCACACTCTTTTGCTAAAACAGGCATTTGAGCATGGCCTAATTCCTGGCTTGGCGATAAGTGCTTTAGAGCAGTAAGATCTTTATCTTCTAATGGGCTTTCCAACTCTCACATTTTCTAAATTGATTTGTCT